TGCTTGCCTGCCTGCCTGCCTGCGGGAGATGCCCGTAACTCGAAACGATTTCGATCCCAAACCTGATTCTGAGAACTGTCCGACAACGACGCTCTGTCGGACACCGGTATGGAATTTCTACCGCGATCGAAGGATACCCCCTCGATTTCCGCGTCCATCTTCCAGATTTACGACGTTATTACGAGCAATAACCGTTGACCCCATATCTGGCGATGTTCCAAGCCACATTATGTTTGCCTTCACGCCGTGTGTATCAATATCGATGCTCGATATTCGACTGTGCACGCCCGTTAGAAATCAACCCCTCGATGTCTCGATTACTCGCAAGCCCACGTTACGCCTCCTCCCTTCCCCCTCCCTTTACCAATCTCGCCTCCTGTTCTTACCTCCCGTTCCGAATCGGACCGCTAATTAATAACGTACATGCAGTAATTGGACTCCCGTCGTCCGCGCAAGACCACCTTCGTGAACCAGTTTGTCCCAAAGTTCATGACTCGATATCCATAATCCATGCACCGATATTCTTTATTTCTTGCACTCGTCTAGACAATTCGGCCTACAATTGGGAGCGTTGACACGGATACGGTTAATTTATGAAGCAAATATTTGCCGTGGAAGTACTACTTTAGTAGAAATCAATTTTAGAATACGTAGATTCGTTGAACAGTTTCATCGATCTATTAAGGGTAGCTGTACACGTCCCAATTCGTTTACCACGTTTGCGTACGTCACACCGTCTCATGACTTGCAAATCAGATGTTCCAGATCGGTTTTCAATAAGTATCATCGCGATCTACTTAGCTCATAAATGGGCGCGACTCCGGAATTCACCGAAATCAATTTGTCCGGAGGAACACAATGGCGTCCTACACACGCGTACGGTAGTCGCTTTGATCGGCAGCATTTTCACTGGTTTCGTAGTCGCTGCGAGAGTGAATAGGAGCGGCAGTCCTAAAGGGCGGACACGCGATCGTTTAAAAGATTTTTGCACGCTACCACCGAGCGAAGGCCTCGCCCAAACCCTTGGGATTTTATGCTTTGTTGTAATCATCGGCTATCACGAAGGAGTAAAGCCACGAATAGGGGGATTCAATGTATCAAATGTGTGTAGGTGAACTTTCTTTTCATTTATCATTTTTCTTTCGTTGCAATTTCAATACGTTAAAGCTAGACAGTTTTTTAATACTCATATACAGGGTGAGTCACCCGACGTTTACACCTCAAATATCTTTGCTGTTTTTAAAGATACGTCAAATGTCTTAATGAAAAGTTGAATGGGGCTCGCACGATGCCAAAAATATTTTTGTTTTTACATCATTCTTTTTAAAGATATCGAAGCCACCAGAGTGGAACGTACCGTACAGAAGAAGGAAAGTAAAAAAATTATAGGGACATTGTAACTGCGATTAACGAAAGTTTGGGAATTGCTGCGTACTAAATTTCCTAGAAACGCTTATGGAGATGACAAAGAACGGATTATAGGAGGGGCAGGGGTCGGCGGAAGGCGAAGACGTCCGGAAAACGGTGAAACCGCAAAAATTGCACGGAGAGATCGTCCGTACCTAGTGTTTGAATTGCTCAAGATTACGTTTTGCGGGCCGTGCAGTTTCTCCGGTTCCGTAGTCTTGATAAATGCTCCGGGTGAAAAAACGAAGCCGGAACCTTTAATTTTTCACCGGGCGCGAAAAAGAGAGGTGGAAATCGTACCACCCCTCCCCCTCACCGACTAACAATAAGAATAAAGCGATATAGATATAGGTATCTACGTGTACGACTTCTAGATCCTGGTGCCCGGTTGAACCGGAAAAAGAAGGACCAGAAGAAAAATTCTCGTGATTCTTCTAAATCCCGTTAACGACCGAGCATCGACTTTACGCCCGTCGTATTACGTTGCGAGAAGCCCCCATGAAAAACACCCCAATAGAAGAAGAATCGGTGTCCGATAAGAAAAGGCATCCCGATATTTTATGTGTCGGTATTTAGGAGGTATCACCATAGCCTCTAATATCATTTTAAGTACGCCCCAAGCGACTTCCGACTGAATTGCTCTTGTCGTGGAGTGAAATTTAGGAGAGCAGGAGAGAGAGTGTAAAGAGGGGTACAACGACCATCCCGACGGTTTCTGCTGGACGAAGCAAGAAAGCCATTTCCTTTTTATGCAAGCGTGCGGAGACGTTGGAGAGGATAGAAAAATTTCGGGATAAAGTGTCCGGGGGACCGCAGACAGTGGCGCGCGGGCATGGAAAATAATGGAACGGATGGTGCTCGCGGGCCAATCGAAACAACAATTTACCAGCAGCCACTTTTATCTATAATGGACGGAAGAACCCGATCGAAGCGGAGGAGGGCGGAAACGGTTCCCAACGTTGCTTCTTTTCCCTTAAAAGTCGGCTACGTTTCCGGTATCAGTAACGCAAAGTCTCTTACGTTGCATCCTGAAACGGAACACGGAATATATCTTCGAGTGGGTCCCTCTTTAAGGAAATGTTCGGTCCAATGAATTCCACGCCGGGAGTGCCACAAATACTTGATTACAGAGAGGCACTATTTTAGTTTGGATTTCTTAAGTTGAATCTTATTTACATTCGGTACAAACAAGTTCCTGTTTGAATTTATTTACACTTCAGATTCGCGAGAGTAACATCCAGGTCAATGGAATTCAGTTTGTGGCACATAATACCAAGAGCCTCGGTTCGTACGTCTCATCCGTTTGCCAGAGCGATCCGTGAGACTGATCGATCTTGTTTTAACGTAAGTCTGTAATTCATCTGAAATGTGGCTGTCATCCTTAAGGACATTCATCTCTTAAATTCACGTATTATATAAATGCTTAAAATTTGAACTATGCGCTCTTAGTATCGTTACTATAGACGGTAAATATTTATGCAAATTCCTATTTTTATAAATACAATTAAAGGAACGAAATACATATTAATATTTCTTTTCTCCTCTAAATATTATCATTTGTATTTCATTCTAGAAATTCTGTATTTTTTATTTATTTCTGCATAGTATCTTTTTAGATTATAAAAAATTCTTGTTATTGCAGTCTTTATTATTATTTATAATTATATTATTATATAATTATTATCTATCAACTTATTCTTTAATTGGCAATCTGTCTGTGTCGAAGTCGAGTCATATTTTAATATCAACGTTCAACACGTGCAGTATAAGTAAAACGGACATTTTAATTCATAGCAGGGGAGGTACATTATGTATTTTCCTAAGGAATAGAGTATGTCTAACGTCTAATATGTAATGATACAACTGCAAGTCTAAATAACTGTGAAGATAAATAACTTTTGCAGAAACAATGGCAAAAGGTACAATTGATTACCAGTTAAATTTAGTTAATGGAGTGCCCTCGATTCTGGGTAATTTGCACGATTCAATTTACGTGAACTTGAAACTTGGCTCCACTTTTGTAACGCGTAGTAAATTGCACTCTCGAACGATGATTTACACCATTCGCATTATATTCAATACCGATGAACAGTATTGTCGAACGAAGTTGAGCTGTGTGAATGGAACTTAAGACGGGACAACGTGAAATAGGAGAGAATAGAAACGGCAACGGGAGATTCGAAGATATAGCAAGTGGGCAAACCACCTTGTGCCTCGGTCCAGCCACGGACAATTCGCTTCGTTTAACCGGACTGGACGCTGGACGATGGCCAAACGGTATCACACAGATGTTTGCTGCCCTTTTGAACGTCAGTTATGAGTCTTTGAAATTGCATCTAACCCGTACAATGGCCCTCTTTCCTTTCGTCGCTGTCCCTATCTCCTCCAGATTTCTGTACCCCACTCCCCCACCCGAGTCGAGGAATGAAGACGGACGTCAAGAAAAGCTTTGCTCTCCACTTCTCTGATACTACTGCTGGCTCCTGTTTCTTTCTCTGTGCCTCCTCGGTCGTTCGATATCGATACGGTTTCCCGGTGACTTTAGATACTTCACGGCACATGGGAAAGGGATCAACCATGATTCTGTTCCGCCATTTGCCCGGTATTGTTACACCGCTGCGATCTCGAAACGAGAATGATAGCCCTGAGTAAACTTCGCCCGTTTGTTTGGCTTGGCAAGGAAAGCGTGCAGATAATTGTATCGAGTCGGGATCACGGGAAAAGGAATGATCTTCGCGGATAAGTATTACGATTTGAAAATGTGCACTATATAGAGTGGAAAATTTTTCAGATACTTTTGCCCAGAGACCATTGTGCCGGATTTAATGTCCTCGTGATTGTGACATGCCGGTATACAGGGTGTCTCAGAAAAAGTGTCACAGCCAGAAAGGGATGGCTCTGGAGCTGTTTCTGAACAACAATTTATTTTAAAGAAATGCAAAGTGAGGCACGGTTTTTGAGATATTAATGAAAAACCATGCATTCGTTTACATTTTGTCAGAGGAAACTATGAGTTCCAAGTTTGGAATTAAGTACAACAATTCTTAAGTTGAAACTTCAAGAACTTTATTAGACGATGTAGTTCTGCACGCAAGTACGTACTTTGGAAATCTGCCTGAATTGTACAATTTTGGTCGTCTTTGTAGCTAGTCGCTATAAGTAATCGGGGTCCAATGGCCAAAACAGGGTAGGAAAGTCAATATTTGGGATAGGATGAGTAAGTGGGGGACAGAGATCAAGATGAGTAAGGATGTTTTCCTTTAAATAGATTTAGGGTGTCTGTAAGTAAAACTCTGTCAACAATGATAAATTAGTTCGCCATCCAAATGCTCTTTTTCTGGGATACCCTGTATAACTTTGAAATCCGTTAATCCTCCGGAACATTTTATTCCGAATTTTTGACGTATTTCCACGTGTTCAAGAACATTCCGTCAGTTGTACGACCGACATAGCCGAAATGCCAAATGCACGTGCACTTGAACGTTTGATTTTGCCAAAACCATCGTCAGGGAGGTACAGCTGTTCAATGCATATTTATAACTTTGTAACATATACCACGCATAGTTTTGTTGCGTTGTGAATCGTGGTATAAAGCGACAGAGTTTCACGATCCATTCTGAAGAACAGGAAGTAATCAGAACGCTGCGTGATGGCATATCAGCATCAGCGCTTCCTCCGCGGAAACAATTTCTCAATCTTTCCGATCGATTGTTTCGACACGATCAATCAAATTTTCCTTCCGATGAAAGTGGAACCTCGTAACTAAATACAAGAGCATGAATATGAACTAGTTCGGAAGCCATTTTCGAATCCACATATAACTTAGTTTCTTCAAAATGAAATTGCTATATTCCATTAATTTATCCTTTATTGAGAATAGTGCAACTTGTGCGATAACACGGAGACTATCGGAGTCTCATTCCGAGTGAATTGTGAAAGAATTCGGGAACAAAATGCAGTGAATTGAGGAAACCTGGAGGTAAAATATAGGTTCCGGTTTTAAGTGGGGATTAGGATTTGTAAGGGCAAGAATATCAGGGTTAGAGATTGAGAATGATGTAGTGAGGACAAGGTTGAAAAATGATGCAGTTAGGACAGAGCTCGAAGATAGAACAGAGTTTACAGATACGAATCAAGGAGTGAAGAATAATGAAATTTCGGTATAGAAAATCGAAAATAGGGAATCTATATTTAACTTAAACACTAGATAACGTTGGTATACAATAACATAAAAATGTATTTCTATAAATGCACCTGACCTTTTCTTTACACGATTTTAATTTTATTCAGGAAGGAATTTAATTAATTTTCATTTAGAAGAATTTCCATACAGAAGTTTCCATTAACACGATTTATTCAGAGTTGCACGATCTTCTCAAAACAAGTCATTCACAATTATAGTGAATGTCCCAATTTCTACTCACTGGTTTATTTCTCTATAATTTCAAACGTTAAATATTCTACGGTTTTTCCTTTTTATTTTACGCTTTATTCTCCTGAACCTACGACCTGTTAAAGGTTCCACAATTTAAAAAGTTTATAAATATTATAAACTAGTCCTGATTAATATTAAAATTATAGAAAAGTACGTGAGTGAGTAGAAATTGTGACGTGAACAGAAATTGGGATATTTTCTATATACGAGTTTTTATTTAAATGATTTATTCACAGTTATGGAAGTTTGAAAATCGGTCAAGTGCGTGTACTATAAGTTTCGATGTGTCAAACTTCTGTTACTGTATTACATTTACAAGCATGGGCAATCTTTTTTTTTGCATCCTGTCGATTCCTACTGCTAGTTTTATTCGTTCTGTAATCGTGTCAAGACACGAGAGTACGTATAAGGAATCCTATCGTCAAGAGAATAAATAATTAAAACAGAAGAAGTATAATAATCAAAAGAGAAAAAGAAATTCTTTGAAAACGAAATTGGACATTTTAGATTTTTTTGCAAGTAGCAAGAGCTCGTTTTGTGTTGTTAATACTTTTGTAGGAATCATAAAAGAGAGATAAATTGTTCTACATGATTTTCTTTTAGGCGATACGCTTTCACTGTATATAAAGTAGGATTAGGTGTAATATAAGCTGACCAACTTGGTATCATCAATTTAATATTAGCTCCCCTATTGCGATGCGACGTATGCGTTTATTGCTTTGACATAGAAGAACGAGATGAAGAAAAGAGAGCATTCGATACTTCCTGTTCACTGGAGTGAACATTTTCACATTCATGGATTGTCTACACATACAATAAGTACGCATACTCTGTTTGGAAGAAATATGAAGTTCCCCAAACAACACGGTCCATCCAAAGCACGGCCAAAGCCATTCGTCTTCGAAGTTCGGCGGCGCGTATCGAGCGCACACGCACACAGTTATCGGTGACTATGGATAGTTAAGTGGCGTAAACGTGTCCATATATGTATATGTATATGTACAGGGTGCGGTGAAACCGAGCAAGCTACTGAAGCTACTAATCTATTTTGAGGCGGTGGTGTAACTTCTCGCGTACAGAGCAGCGAGCAAGCACAAACCCAGGGGAGGAGGTGGCTGGCGACAGATGGCGTTCACCAAGAATCCTCGGATTTCCACGAACCGTGATATAATCGGCCGACTCGGCTCGACTAATGCCAGCCCGCAAATACAAAGCAGCTGCGTTCACATGCTCGACTTGCGACACGACGCACAATACGCTAATGCGGACTTGGTTGCATCAACATGCTCGAACCTCAAGGCGGTCCTCTCCCAAAAATCGAGCGTTTCATCGAACGGGAATATATCCGTAATTATTTCAGTTCGTTGACTTTCTTATACGTGTTACAAAATGTTGTCTAAGAAAATCGGGACTGAGTGAGGGCAATTCTATTAACGGGCCACGTGTTAGGAAAATTCTCGTGCTAATCCTAATCGCGTTTGACAGTCAGAAACTAATCTTACGAGGGCGTAATTTATTCGCGACTCGGGCTTGGCTCACAATTATTCATTCCTAATGCGGTAACGAGAAAATGCTTAAGAGAATTGGGGAACGGCATTTACTAGGAGTAAAAATGTGATCCTGGCAAGTAATACAGATGTTAGGGAAATAGGTACCGCGTGGAACGGAAAGTAGCTCGTTTTCTTTCTAAATGGATTAGGTCACTATTGTCCAGGTGCTCGAAGATAATCCTATGCATACCGTGTCGTGATCCAGCAGTCACAGTCCGGAGAATAAATCCCACGCCACTCTAAATGCTAATGAACCTCGCGTGAGCGATACTTTTACATCGTTTTGGAATGAAACCGATGAAACGAATAGCGGGCCGCCTACCCATTTGTTCGCCCCTTTGTACAAGGGTTGCTTCTCGGTGTGGGCGACCCGATACTCGACTACCTAGCAGATGACTCAACAGATAAACTCCCCCTGTCCTGTGCGTCGCGTCTCCGTTCGCACCAGACGCGCAAAAAGTATTCTCGATCAAATTCGTACGCGTCGAGACGAGCGCTCGCGTTCAAAGCTGTTCGGGCGAAAGCAATATTCGAAGTTGGCGCGGCGCGCGCCGAAAGAGAAAAGCATCAGTGTAACATTGAAATGTTTGATTTCACGGTGTAAGTAAATATTCGTGAGAGCGAAGAAGAAACCGTCTGTAAAGCCGGGTGCCGTCGTCGAAAGCGACGAGAAGCAGAGTATAAAAGCAACACGATCAGATCGTTTCCGGGTGTTTTCAGAAGTACCGATGCATACGCGAACGAGGAGTGGTTGCCGGCGGGACCTACAGAGGAATTCTTTCGAACGGTATTATTATACATATACCACGAGTAACCTTCGTCGTCGATCGTCTCATCCCGCGTATTCGCTTTGCGACACTTTTGAATGCGATTCCATTTACATGCCACAGATCCGTCGATATCGCGGCGTGCGTGTCGCGCGTGCAATCGAAAACAAACCGACGAGAGAGAGAGAGAAAGCCGTCACGCTTATACGCGCCGCAGTCGACGACGATCGGGGAAACGGGAAACGACGAGTACGTAGTCGAAGCTTTTTAGTTTTAGCCGACGCGATGAGGAGAGGAGTGAAAAAAGGGAAAGACAACAGGCGGTGAAATCTGAGTTGGTGTTTGGTCCACGGAATTACTGCGGTTTTTTTTTCGTCAATGCGTCCCCTATTGAAATATACCGCAGGGAGGAAGTTTGATTGATTCACAGGCCGTACTGAAATCGCGCTTCGGACGAATCCTCGAAATTGAAAAATGGCATTTTGTCCACCGCGTGCATGCCGCGTGCGGCCTTTGACGAGCTGAAAGTTAGTTAAAAATCAAATTCTATCCATGATATACCGTATTCCGTGCCACGTACGTAGTAAATATCGTTTCAAACTGAAAAGTGCCTCTGTAAACATAACGTGAGAATTTTTATTCTCATATTTAAAAACTGTCTTTTCTGTCACAATACATTATTCCTCTCGTTCCTTACAGCCTTTTCTTTTTCTTTACTCGGTTCACGGTAGGAGAACGCGGTCTGGAACAATGGCAGTGGACGGTCAGTGGATTTTATTGGCCGCAAGAGAATTAATGGAGGGCTAATGAAATCGGTCACGGTCGGAGGAGCAACGGGAAGGCGCAAAATTCTCTCTGGCTCACTCGACTCAAAAGAAGAATCACAGGCGGTCGCAACTTATTCGAAACTTGCGTCACTCGGAGAGACCAAACTTTTCTCCTTTCATCCCCCGAATAGCGTGTAATAGAATTCGTTCCACGGAAATTTCCCGACGCCTGATTCACTGTGTTAATGGTTTCACCGATTAAATCGTACGATAGCGCCGCCGTTAAACGAAACACTTATCGAATTATATTATACTTCCTCTTTTCATTAAAAATGTATTTGCGTTTCCAGCTATGAAAAAAAAAACAAATTTCCCTCTGTTATACAATTTCTACAGTCTGAATGAATTCCTAGTGATTGAATGTTCCCAAGTACAAAGTTTATTTTAAGACTGCGGATTTTATAGGAAAAATAGTATGTACAGAAAATATATAAAAATAGATTCAATGTCCAGGGACACAGATAAAATCTATTCTTGCCAGATTTTTCACACCTCTCCTCTTATCCCTCGTTAATTGAATACCTAATTGCCTACACTCGTTCCTTTTTAAACATTCCTCCCACTTTTTGGTACTTTTACTCTGTCAACCCTTTTTCTTTCTCTTCCAGGCTATACTTCCTGCGAATTTTCCCTCTATATTAAATCTTCTCTTTATTTAGTCTCACGAATCTCCTCTATGCACACATATATTTTATATTAACGTACATAGATATTTATACATTACATATAAATACATTAATTAATTATAAATATATGTATGCGAAAGACTAATACAAAGCAATGATCTAGCAAAATTCTCTCAAAAGAATGAAAAAATGACATTAGGAACATAATAACCCCCTTAATCACGCATGACAAAATCGTTTATCGCATTAGTCATGATTATTATCTGTTAAAGCGAAATAGTCGATTAAAATGAGTTCAGCTGTTCTATACGAGATATCTAATGCATGCAATTGCGAAACGTTTGGATATCGTTTTTGTCTACTATTCTGCTTACCCATAATTTATAAACTTGTCATTATTAATTTTCACTGAATAAGCATCGAACGAACAAATAGCTTATCCAATCGCAAATTGGACGAAAATGTGTTTAACAAATAGGATATTTCACGGGACGTTTGAGGCATCGTATCAAGAAAATTTAGTTCACGTTGATTTCGATAGAAAAATAGATGTTTAATTTGAAAATTAGAAAATACATGTAATAATTGATATAACTAGTGGGTTGTGCGGAAAGTTGGTACCAATTTTTGGTAGCTTAAGCATTAGGGCAGCTGTGAAGCGAGTCTTTTGAGTATGTGAGAAAGATTACATACAAATGACACGTGCATTCTAAAACAGTGAGATTGCTATGTAATAAAGTAAGTATCCCATAGTAACGTAAAACTTATAGTTACTACGTTCTAGATTTAAAGCAATTTTATTTAAAAAGTCATAAATAACTAACATGGCAACAATAAATAAAACAATTTAAAAATCCTATGGAACATTTGAGTTAGTGGCAAGTTTGCATTTGTTTTTTGCTTGAAAGTAATTGAATACACTAAAATATGAATAACATTTGAAACCGTACATAGAGACTCCCCATCTCTGGGCAATAATGATGTAAATTGGGAGTCCCTCAAACCGAAGGAAAGGCTGAATGAATAAATAAAAAACAAATGAGGAGAAACCGATAATTGAATTGCGGGGGCAGCCATAGATACAAGAGACTCTCCATTTGTCAGCAGTAGGGAACTATGTTAAACTTATTACGGCGGAACCTATACAGTAAGTACGTGGACACGGCAAGAGGTACTCGCGTGTTGCGTAATATGGTAAATTGTTTGGAAACTCGTGTAACGTAACGTTTGCATAACAAGATTAAGCTTAATAAGCTCCGACGATATCAGCAGTCCATCGGAATCGAACAATTAACGAGACCTCAAACTTTCACGGTGATAGTTCTGCCGGTTTGTCCAGCGGTTAACGTGCAGAGAATACTTCCGGTTCGTCCGAGGATTTCCGCGATCGATCGATCCGTTCCATCAGCATCAAGCGGATCAGCCAAACGAATGGCTCGTCGTAAACAATGACACTGCTAGGATGGGCAATTTGTCCGTACAGATTTCCAATAGCTATTGAGTATTTATAATCCAATATTAATATACAGTCATAGTGAAAAGTTTTTATACAAAATCCACGTGGTCCAAGGCTGCACGTCTTTTGATGGAAGCGAATTCTTTTTATATAACGAATGGGTTTCTGGATCCATCCGAATTCATCTCCTCTTTCTGCTTAGATATATGGTTCCTTAAATTTAAGCTCCATTCGTTCCATTCCCTTATCCATTTCAAAGTTATCCCTCCGACTTTCCCGGCGCGCTGAAAATAATAAAAATTTCTTTGCTTCCTTCTTTTTTAACTGTAATTATAGATGTGAATTTTGTTTCAATAACTGGCAGCTTCAATTTCAATTTGCTCGATGATGAAGTTCGATAACAAAGTTCCATTAAAAGGGTAGTTTTTCATAATAGGGAACGAGGTGAGAAAATTGAAAGGGAGAAACAGTGGAAGGGAAATGGCAGTCGCGCTTCGGTCAAAAGTTGATGGCAGGGAAAAGGTTAAACTCTTAATGGATTCCAATACGACGCAACGAGTAAAAGAGTAAACTTCGATTGTGCTACTTTCGGGTAGCCGGTATTCGAACCATTCAACGAGGAATATTCCAGTTTCTCACGGGTTCGCTGTACGCGACGCGCGAAATTATCTGAAATCCCTTCGATCTTCGGTTACGTCGTCGCGTCGTTCAAGTTTACCTCGCGACGTTAGTTCTAATTTGACGATAATACGGTGACGAAAATTCTTGAATGGTATTATAGTATTACGTGCCACAAATAGTTTTAGCTATAAACCGATTAGGGTAAAAGTTATAGAGAGCGCGGGGACTGCTTTGAAATCGCTCATGTGAGACACCTTGGTACAGGCACACGTGTTTAAAACACGTCGACTGCCACGGTGGTCGTATGTGACCGCAGATTGTTATCTCCTTTAGCGCTACGGTGGTTATCGATGAACGAAGTACTTCAAATATTTGTAATTGTAATTGTAATTATAATTGTAAAAGTTGATTGAATATTGTTAGAATGCGTCTCTCAACTGGGATCCATATTATTCTTAAAAATAAAGAATTGTGTAAAAATCTACTTTGTTTTCTCAAAGATATAATTGGGTCATATACCCGCTGCCACTGATTGCAATGAAAAATTTCTCGGGAGGCACTTCTCTTCACCTGTCGTCACTTTGTTCCTGCATTACTATTTCTTTCGTGGTCATGCTTTTATGCTCTCTACAGTACCCCTACAAATTGTAATTCCAATTTCCCATTTTTCTTCTTAAATTTAATATTGAAAATTTCACATATACCAACGACGCTGCACTGAAATCGTTCAGTAAGCATGGCATATAAATAAGCTATTATGTATTACAACTCTATGTATGTTATGTAATTTATTGTGTATTATAAATATTGTGCTCGATAAGAATCGCAAGATGGATGCGGTCTTAATAATAAAACAAATAAATAATTCGATGGAATGCATTTTGAACATTATAATCTCCTATATGTATATGTATAATAGTATTGAACTGAGAGAGCAGGAATCAAATTCTAATTCTGCATTTATATATATGTATATGTAGTAAGTTTTCATAAAAATTTTTGTGAATAACCCGAAATACCATAACACTAGTTTCGAAAATTGATCAGCCGTCGGAAGTTGCCACAGTACACATGCGTGCGTACATAGTCGTTCCCGAAATGAACAAGTTTCCCTTGTATCCTCCGATTTAATTAGTTTCGACAAAGTTCAACTGTGTGGCGTATACTGGGAACTTGTCTTTTCCACAACTTTCCCGGCAGCTTTGCTTTATAACTTGAAGAACAGTACACGGACAGTGTCTACACGTCGTTCTTCCACTGTTGAAATCGTCCCCGTTCATCCGTATTCCTTATTGAATCTCGTACTCCCTTAATGCGAAGTTCGCGCGAGTTATTTTTAGCCGGGCTGTCCACCACATTGCCAGACGGAGTTCCGAGGTCTCTAGGAAACTCGTTTCACCCTAACGTCCTGGAAAATGTTCTCCGTATCGAGGAGCCCGGTAATCGACTCGCTCCTCAAGTGTATTCGACAGTCGGAATCGGCAAGCTGAAACTTCCGTTTAACCATTAATCGTTCCCTCCGCTTAAATGTTTCCCTCTGGTGTCGATAAGTTGCGCATGCAATGGGCTTCGAGAGAAAACAAAGCGAACTGGCTAACAATTTTTCTGGGGCACCCTGCATATTCCAGTCTAAGTGAACATCATAGTGAATTCATTTTCCCTCATTCAAATCACAGTCATTTGTACAGTATACAAAACGAGATGTGTGACACAGCTGAAGTTATAGTTGGCTATATTTTTCAAATTTTATTTAAAAATCGTGTTGTAGCAGTAGAGAAAAAGAGAGAACCAATGTGGGTACATTTTAGAATTGCTACGAAGTTACAATAGCGGTTGATATCCGAAAATTATGTGAACCATCGGCCACGGTATTCTATATTACGTAAATACGTAAATGCTTTTATTTACGCAAATTTTATTGGATCGATTGTATGGAAAATGGGCGCATTGTGCGGCTCGTTGGATCGGGTCCTTTTATTGCATCCGACAATACAAATTTCGACGCTGAAAGCGGGCGGTCTGTTATCAACGCTATTTTCTTGTTACCGCGAGTAGATATGTATGGTTGAGGTAAAGCAATTTCTATTTGGCTTTAACGAAGGGCACTCATTATTCCAACGTTTTGTGCGAACACAAAAGTCACGTTAATGACTCGCGTGCAGAGTGATGGTTCACCGGATATTACGACCTCGATGTTCTTCGTTATTATTTTACCTGGCGAAGAATGTTTGTGTATGATGTTGAATGATTTTGAGGGAAGCACATTTTGGTGTCGCGATAAGCTCTTCTATTGGTGGACGTGTAGAAAAGATGTTAAAGTCATCAACATTTTTTCAATTGGTCAATCATAAAGAGTACCCTTCCGATTATTATGAAAAGGAACTACGTTCTGTCTTATCTGAAAGTCTTCGCCCGCCTATGTAGACACCTATTTTGCGTAGATCGTAAACGAGCTTATCAACGTCTTACGCAGATCGTAAACGAACTTGTCAACTACATTATTTACTTATTTATGGACAGAAGCCTGTTTATGCTAGTAATGAATACAAGGCAGTAAGTAATACAAAGGGAATAGTTAAACATGTGCATCGATAAAGAAATGAGTAAGAAAAAGAGAATATTATAGGATAGACGGCGAGTGCCCAAGCAGCAAGCGGGGGGATACGCGAGAGGGTCAGTAAGAAATATAAGTCCTAAAACGAGAGAAATCTCATGGCTGATCACGATGTAATATTCAATTTCCA